CAAAAAAACCTTTTTTTTACTAACTTAAAAAATTCAAGATATTTAAAAAAAGGGATTAAATATAATTGTTATCCAACTTAACTGCGAATTGCGCTTACGATCACTCTTTTTCAACCCACATAAAGTTCAAGGATAATTCGAAAGCAATTCTACGCAATCCTATAAAAACACCAATCAAACACTACAAACTATGAATTTAGACTCTGATTCTTCACAAGGAAATACGTAGGCACGCGGTTAAAACCAAGGCGAGTTCATAACTAAAAAATTAAAATTATTTTCTTAAACATATGGGAATAAAAAATATAACTGAGTAGAAATCCCCAATTTACCCTACGATCTAAAATAGGATGCTCGTTGAGAACAAGGGAGATGAAGGGTGCCTAACATCTTCCATTCGTTTAACCAACTCGTAAACTTAGAATCTCTACACAATTAGGGCTATTCGTTATTCCCCCGTCCTTAGGACAAAAAGTAGTGGTGGTGACTCGTTATTTTTGCCGGTTACAACACCTTGCTCGTAAAATATATGGGTTTTTCCACTCAGATGTTTCCCAAATGAGAGCTGCACTGACAGCCTCGGTTGCGACAGCAAGATAGAGGTAGAGAGTTTCTCCATTATCTGATTGCAAGAGGACCAGTGGTTGTGAGAGTGCTCGTTTGAGGTGGAGGATGGCTTGCTTGCACTCCTCGGTCCATTCAAATGTCGCTTCTTTGTGAAGAAGTTTGAAAAGGGGAAGTGCATGTTGGGGTTGGCAATGGAAACTCAGAGAATTCCCTGCACTTGTCGAGGTAAGTATCCCGTTCAGATATTGGATTGAATTTTTTGAACTTGACATTGGAAAATCAGAGAATTCCATGCACTTATAGGGGTTGGCTTCAATTTCTCGCTCTGTCAGGTAGAAATCGAGGAATTTTCTTGCTCGTATGCCGAAGGTGCATTTCTTTGGGTTGAATCACATTTTGCACTTCCTTGCTTGGTCAAACACCCTTTTTAGGTGGAGTGTATGGTCGTACTCCTCTTGGAATTTCACGATCATATTGTTCATATAGACCTCGAGCACGGCTCCAATCTCTCCTCATAAGACTTTGTTCATCATTCTTTGATACGTGGCGCCTACATTTTTCAAGCCGAATGACATTATGTTGTAGTATAGTTGTCCGACTTGGTCATGAAGGTCATGTATTTTTTGTCGCTTTTTGCCATGGGAATCTGGTTGTATCCAGAGTATGCATCCATAAAAGAAAGTAATTTAAAACTATTAGAATTATAAACTAATCTATCTATGTTGGGCAAAGGATAATCATCTTTGGGGCAAGCCCTATTAAGATTTGTATAGTTAACACACATTTGCTATTTTCCATCAATTTTTTCACAAGTATAACATTCGATAGCCAAGTTGTATACTTGGCTTCACAAATTTTTTTTGCCTATAGGAGGTCTTTTACAACTTGCTCGGCAACCTCTATTTTCTCTGGAGACTGCTTACGTCTATGATAGGCTACAACCTTAAGGGTAGGATCAATTATAAGCTGGTGACATGCTACCTTTGGATCCAAACCGAGCATCTCTACGGTGCTCTATACGAATAAATATGCATTCTCCCTGAGGCATGCTTTTAGCTGCTTCCTCGTTAGGTCGAGAAGACCGGTACCAATCTTTACTCCTTTGTCAGGGTCGCTGCCGAGGGGATGATCTTGAACTCCCCATCTAGGATTAGGTGCAAAGAATGTTCGGGTTTCTCGTTGGTTATGGATATAGAGGAGCTTTATGCAGTCAACTGGGCTTCTTTCCCATTCTTATTCTGATCTTGGAGATAATCCTTAGTGAAATGTTTGTCAAGGTCGACCGTATCGACGTATGGCCGCGACTTTGACTTTTCTGAGCTACTGGGTTGGGAAGAATCATTGGCTGCTCTAGGTGATGCTCTGAGGAGTTTATCCCTTCAAATCTGCCTCGAAGCATCTTCTTGTTGCTTTTATGTTCCCGTGAAGGCTGGAGACGAGTCCTTTTGAAGTATTGTACTTCAACTTTAGATGCACGGTGGAAGGCATCGCTATTAGTTCGACCAGGGTCGGCCTTCCCATAATACACTGATATAGATATGGGCAATCAATTACAGGGAACTGTACCTTGATAGATCTAGCTGTCTGTGTTGTCTCAAAAGTGACAAATAGCTCGAAGTAGCCCCACGGTTTGGTGAATGCACTGTTGAAGCCTTGTAAATCCAAGCCCACGTAAGGCGTCAGGTGCGTCTCGTTGAGCTGCAAGGTTGTGAATAACTGGGAGTACATAATATCGTATGCGTTTCCCTGGTCGATCAGAATCCTTCAGATATCAAAATTTACCATATTTTCTCTCACGAGCAGAAGGATGGTTGAGTTAGGAGATCTGTCAGGGAGTTCCTCGCGGTAGAATACGATGGGGACAGAGTTTCCTCGAAACTTATCGAGGGTTGAGTTCTTGTTGGAGCTTGCGTTGATCAGCTACTCGAACTTCCACTTTACTGAGTCCACGGTAACTTTATTGAATCCCCCGCCAGATATGACCATAGTAGAGGGGAAGGTTTCCCATGGACTATGCATTGAGAAATATAAGGGATGCTCGATGTCATCGAGGATATAGAAATCCTCTGCTCTAGAAATGCATATGGCGATTGGCATGCTGACATCGTCGGAAGATGGTTTCTCTTCCCCGACCTTCTTCGACTCAGGGGCATCCTTGCGGGGACCTTATTTTTTCTTGTACTACTTGAGAAGCCCATCTATGATGAGAATCTCAATGGCATCCTTCAGGTGGATGCAGTCTTCAGTGGTATGCCCATGGCTCTTATGGAACTGACAATATTTAGTTTTATCCGTCCCGGGCTTGGACGTTGTTTGTCGAGGAAAGTGGACCCCGGCCTGACGAAACTCTGAATTTGAATAGTCAGTCAGAATATGCTCATGTGAGGCATTTAGGGAAGTGTAATCATGGAATTGGCCAACTAGCCCTTTGTATTACTGCGATTCGTGGGGCTTGTCTTCTCTTCTTTTATCTTCTCCTCGACAAGATGTCAATGAGTCTTCGTGCTTTGAAACTTTGGCATTCTCCTGATATTGTGAGTCTCGTGCGGCGTTGGCAGCTTCTTTTTCTTCATACTGGATGTATGCCCGGGCCTTGAGGAGTAGAGCATACAATGTAGCAGGTGTTTCGATGCCAACTACCTTAGCAAAGTCACTACGGGGATGCAACCCGCATTCAAGCAGATATTTATTCATACCGTCAGTCGTGGAGACCTGAACGACTTTGCGGTTGAATCTTTCTATATATGCCCAGAGGGGTTCGTATTTCCTTGGATGACCGCCTCTAGCGATGCTTCAGATTTGGAATGTCAGTGAGAGGCAGTAAAGTGCCTGGAGAATTGTTTCCCCAAGTTCTTTTGTGATGTGATCGATGTGTTCTCTAGCCTGACGGGTAGGGAAGTCTCCATGATTTCTCTTGATAACAGACTGCGGGGTTCGTCGTCTTCACTCTGGTCGGGAGTCAGTGGTGGAGAGTAATTATTTCTCCCTCGTCGGGGACTATTGTCACGTTGAGAGGACGTGCTTCTCAGATGACCCTTTGCCTTGGGCGAAGGAGAACGATAATTCTCTGACCGTTGGTTGCCTCTGGTCTTCTTCGTGATTGGGGAGCATCAGTCTCTTTGAGAAGGAGTATGCTTGTGCTTCTTGATCATCGATGTTTTCTAGTTTTTCTATGTCAGAACAACAACTTGGTCGTATTGGTAATGGGCTGCAAGACCCATGTCATATGTATCCCCTCAGAGGAGATCTTGAGCGACGAATTTTCTCCAAGGCTCTGATCATATTGTTTTACTGTAGGATTAGAGCGTTGGTCTAATTTAGTGTTGCGAGCAACACTGCCATGGCTAGATCAACATTGGTCGATACCTGAACATGTTGGAAGATGGCTGATGCGTCTTCTTGGACCTTCTTGGACTTGTTGGCCTCCAAGAAGTGGGCATTGTCGTCCTCAACATCGTTAGAGAAGGGAGACGCGATGTAGTCGTCTCTCAGGGGAATATCTTCATGGAGATGGGTTTCTCCGTCATTGTCCATTTTGGGGATAGGAGAGAGGACAATTTTGCCAGTGAGATAACTATCATCTTGATCATACATGATTTGAATCTTGAAATGTCGTTTTGATCTTTAGTTTCTGAAGAAAGAAAGATGGGGAAAACAGTTTCCCACAGACGACGTCACTTATCTTACCGGCGATCAGAACCTATAATAGATCGATATATGCGTCTACAAGGCTGGAATCAAAGAGGAGGGGGTGTACAAGCAAGATACTTCAATGCTCAAGTAAGTAAGAGTGCAAACAATTTTAACTCAAGATAATTATGTTGAAGCATTGAAAGGTGAAAAATCAATATCTACACAACTAACGATAGAAAAATTTGATATAATGGATAAGACAAAAATATCAGAATATATTTCAAAAATATAATGGAGAAGACAAATATATACCAAAATATAATTATTTAATAAACATAACAAATAATTTTTTTTTATGTGACCACGATCAAAGAGTGTATGCATCTAATAATTTGAAATAAAATTTGAGAATATCTTTTTCTTAAAGAATATATATATATATATATATATATATATATATATATATATATATATATATATATATATATATATATATATATATATATATATATATATATATATATATATATATATATATATATATATATATATATATATATATATATATATATATATATATATATATATAGAGAGAGAGAGAGAGAATCTATCCTATAAGAAAATTGAAAGAGAGAGAATCTATCCTATAAGAAAATTGAAAATTGCAATTTGTCATGTGGCTTAATATAATAATAGTTTTATTGTTCCAAATATCTTTTTTTTATCCAATTTTTCCCCAAATGCAATGTAACGTGCTCATGGCTGTTACATGATAATACACATTCAATTCTCATTCATCTTCCTTCAATTCTTTTAGGTTTTTCCAACTACCCATTCATTTGTACATTTTTTTCTCTCTCTTTTTTCAACCATACATTCTCTCTCTTTTTTCTCTTTGCGCTTCATCTCTTCTTCTTTCTTCCAACTCTCTCTCTTTTTGTCTTTCTACTTCATCTCTCTCTTTATTCACAGATCATATAACAGATCCGTTTTTAGTCACAAATATTTGTTTCTTTTATAATCAGTATAATTTTTTTTTTCGTATTTTAACATTCTTTCAACATATTTCCCCTTTTGTTATTCTTGGATGTACACAAATATAGAGACACGAAGAGGGAAACTGATATAAGAACAACAGTAACAATATTCACGAATTTTTGTTGTTCAGGTTCGAAAATTTTTATTCTTCAGATTTAGGATTTTTATGCCAAAGCAGAACATTTTCTTTTTAATGTCTTTACGGTGGTGTTTCGGTTTAAGATTCGTGGATTGAAGACCGATCCAAAACAATACCATAAGATGAAGATATAATTTTTGGTGCTTCTGAATAAACTACAACACATTTTTTTTTATTTTTTTTTTCAACGATGAACATTGACTTTAAAGGTATGTTTAAATGTTTTTTCGTCTTTTTAGGTTATCTATATGAAGTCCAAAACTGTCTTAAAAACAATATTAAAAGTGTAAGTTTTAGCATAAAATTTTTCTCGTTCATCTTCTAACATCAGTTTGACTTCTTTTATTTGTTCAGGCGGTAGATCTACCGAAGCAAGATACTAAAACAATATCTACCATATTTGTGAAAATATAAATTATGATTAATGATTTTATATTAGATTTGTTTTTTATATATATTATTTGTTAGATAGGTTATTTTTAATATATTTGATTTTCATATTTGTTATTTGAAGTTACGAATTTATGTTGTTGGAAAAAAATAAATGGGAGAGTTTTTGGATTTCCGTTCTTTGAAGATGTGAAGAAATTTTCAAAGATTTATTTGTTAGTTAAAGTGGACGATGAAGAAATAAAGTTGGTTTATGGGTAAAAGTTGGTTGGGTGATGTGTTTTTTCTGCATTTTATTTTGTTTTTATATATCACATAAGTATAATAGTAATGTGTTATTGATAATTGTGATTTGTATTGCAATGTAGAGTGATGATGATGTCCAAGATGACAGAAAAGTTAAGCATAGTTAGTTGAACAATAATGGTTCATTTGATTAGCTCAAAATCAGAAAGGAATTCAAAATGATCTTTCATTTCACCACTTCAACAACAACATTTGACCACTCTCTCAAACCGTCTTACATTGTTTATTGATTAATTTTACTGCATTGAAATTGTATTAAGATTAATATATTTTTATGTTAAATGGTATAATTAGTCTACAACTACTATTTGAGAGTGGTGTATATTTTTACTATTTATGTTTTGTGTTAAATATCTAACATAATAGAAATTAAATATGAATTAAATTTTAATTATTGACATTGATTAACATTTCATACATGGAAAACTAATCTTTTAAATTTTAACATTTATGTATAAACAAATTCTTAACATATATATTGCATTAATTGTAATTTATCTTATAATCATATATGTGATAATAATTAGAATGTGAAAAAAATCATTTTCATTGTTTATAGTTCATATGTTCATATGTAAGGATCCAACCAACAAGGTAATTTTTTAATAATAACGTGTTTACCTTCTCAGTCATATGTTGTCACATAAAGCAGGTTCCATATTAGTCTGCTCAGGCAAGTGAAATCACACAAAATCCTCTCAAATCTAATAATTTATGGTAAAAGTTGTTCAAGTTGTCTGTTAGCTGCTTTTACTCTTTTTCACTCTAGTTAACCTAAGGTTTTTTTTGAATTTTTTACCAACATATATCCTTTTTACCAACTAAATCTCAATATACCATCTACTATATTCAATAATCTCAATCTACCCTCTTTTCAAACAATTTTTTTTTGCCACAATTCATCCGCCAATACAATGAGCGGAGCAGTGCAATTTTTATCCAATCCGCTGAAGCATTGGGCGGATGCTCTAAATAATAGAGAAGGTTCGTCCATTGGATGGGCGGATGAGTGCAACCGTGTTTTTTTTTTTATTTTCTATTAAATTGATATAATTAAATTGATATAATTAAATAATATGCATTATAATTAAACAAAATACACTATAATTAAACAAAATATACTATAAATAAACAAAAATTTCACTAAATTACATAAATTAATTTTTTTATATTTTAAATTATATAATTCCAAGACACATCTACTGTCGATTTTGACCGGGCTGTGTCAATCGTTGGTGAGTTCCACAAGCAGGTGCTCGTCTAGTACGTTGGCCTGTTCTGCGATTTCCTTCTTCATTTTGTGGTTGAGATAAAGGTCTCACGTCACACCCGCCCATTAAAAATTCCTCAATCATGTTCTCATTGGTATAGTCTGTCTCGACTGCACTGCCATAACTTAATCGGGTTCCCTCCCAATTCCAATTTGGTATGGGATTAGTTGGTATGGGATTAGAATACATTGGGCTATTTATTGAAGGTTGGTAACAATCTTGGGAGGTAAATTGTTGTGGTCGGGGAATAGGCATTTGTTGTTGGGGTGTCTGATAGTTGGGATTATGTGGGGTTTGTAGTGTTAATGATGTTTGTGGTAGACTGGTTGATGTTGACTGGGTAAGATGTGAGTATTGTTGTTGGGTGCCCCATTGGATGGGGTTAGATGAATGATATTATTGTTGGGTGCCCCATTTGGTGGGGTTAGATGAAGGATATTGTTGTTGGGTTCCCCATTGGGTGGGGTTAGATGAAGGGTTTTGTTGATGGTATTGTTGGCTTGGGGTAAAAGGTGGTTGTGTTGGGAAGAAAGGTTGTTGCGTAAAAGATGGTTGGTTGTGTTGGGAAGAAAGGTTCTTGGTTGCTCATGAATGGTTGTTGGGTGTAAGTGCTTGATGATGGTCTGGTGTGTTGGACGTTTGAAGATGTAGGCAAATTACGAGGGTCATATAAGAAGTTGTTTGGTGACAGATACAATTTTGTAACAGACTTATACCATTCCATGTATTCCTTACTCGGTTTACATTCTTCTGACATGACATCTCCTTGTAAGACTTTATCTTCGCGGTTATGCTATTGACGACGCTCCTGTTTGTAACAATCTTTCCAATTGCTATATACCCATTGGTCGTTCACCACACTTTTGTGATACTCCTCCATGCATTGTGGAGCATCCGGTATGCCTTGCTTAATGCCAACTTGTAGTTTTACTCGATCAGAATGATGCATTTCAACAGTAGTAAAATGGATGATAAATGTTTTTGCACTCCACACGTGACTATCGATCGGATCGGTATCATCAAGTCCTAGATAGGGCCTCCATGTAAACTGTTAAAAAAATCAATTATTAGTTTAACGAACTATATAAAATATGTAATACTTAAAATATGGTTAAGAATATTACATCAGCTTCTTCGAAATGATCGATGAAAGTCTGATAGCCAGGTGCACAATGATGAGGAGTCTTTTCGTAATCCATCTCATAGGCAGACCATCTAAAAAAATGTAATACTTAAATATTGTTCACATAGTAAATAAGTTTAAGACAAAGGAGTAGTTACAACTTACTTGGTTACGTACGGAAAGTGAAAAAGATTACGATTCCTAGGCGCTAGATTCGGCATCCTGGACCATCCCCAAACTTGTAGTAGTGTTGAACAACCAGCAAAATTATGAACATCTTTTTTGGCGCATCTACAGAGGTTTCTGTATAGATGCGATAAAACTGCAGATCCTCAAATGTATCTACCTATTTTATTAAAGTCAGCTAGTAATTGTAAATACATTAGATGTATTGTGTTACCATTCGTGTCAGGAAATAATAAACCAGCGAATAACAATAAAATATAAATTCTAGTTTTCTTATGAATTTGTTCTATGGTGGAATCTTCGTTCAAGTCAAATGCATCATATATTTCCCGGAGCCAAGTAATTTTGACGAATTGTCCCTTTCTAGCTCTTTCGGGCAATTCTTCACCCAAGAGTTCTTGAGTTATGGAGTAGTCAACATTTGTTCTCCCATTCATTGCCAAACCGTTTACACGTAAACCTATCAACATGTGGACATCTTCAAGGGTGACTGTGGATTCACCGGTAGAAAGATGGAATGTGTGTGTCTCCGGACGCCATCTTTCACATAAAGCGAGAATAAATTTCCTATCAACACCATATGACATTATGTTGATAACGTGCCCAAAGCCCGCTTGCATCAGATATGGACGGATCATTTCGTCTACGGGCACATACGAGTGTGTACGAGGCCTAAATTTTTTCTCATTCTAAAAAATAAAATAGTTAATATTAGAAGATGGTTAATGTCATAAGTATATTCTAAAAATTTAAAAAACTTTATAAGTAAATATATTCAATACTTACATGTTGGAGTATGTTTGACAATGTTCCTCGATGCTCCTCTCCATAAGTTAACAGAGACATTATAGAAAATTGAGTTTGGTGTAGAATTATGATGAGAAAGAACAGATAAAGATTGAGTATGATGTAAATTTTGAAAAAACGAATAGTATTTATAGAGAAAAAATGAAGGGTTTTATGAAAAATATTTAATGGAAACAAGTAAATGGTTGGGAGTAATAACTTTGCCATGCATGTTGTGTACGTAAATTGTGTGTTGCATGCACAGCTTTACAAAATCCGCATCCTCAATGGGCGGAACCATTGGCATTTTCTGACACGCCGCTGATATGTTAGGCGGATACGTTACTTTTTGGTCTGCCATCCGCGTAATTAATGGGCGGAAGCGTGTAATTTGACCTGCCAATGTCGTTGTCGAAGATAATGAAGAAGAAGAGACTGAGTCACAAGCTGATAATTTGTTCACTACCTTATTCGAAGACGGTGGCCGTGACGAGGCGGATGCAATCAACGAAACTGAACAACACATTCCACTTGAGAATGTTTATTGTCCACCCACCCACATGACCACTCTGGGAACAACTGGAGACGAATCATCATTTGAATGGCCCCAAAATCCTCGTCTTCCGCTGGAGGATGACATAGTTGTTGGGAACCAGTTCTAAAACAAATATGACTGTGTCTTTGCGATATCCAGGTATCATATGAAACATGTCGTTTATTTCAGGGTTACATGCTCTGACACGAAGAGCTATAAAATTTGTTGTAAGCGTAGTGGTTGCAACTTTCGTCTAGTGGCATCCTATAGGAAAAGGAGAGACCTATGGGAGATAGGAATCATGGAGCCCCACATAATTGTTCAACGAC